GCATACGACGACGATGAGGTCATTTTATGGATTCTTTCCGGGTGGACTTGAATGGTGAGAGCATGCATGCGGTCCTCTGCCCGGCCACCCGTGTGGAAACGCACACACACACACACACACACATAGATACAGGACCACCACAAGATTCACACGGTCAAGCCTCCTTCAATTCGTGAAATTGAAACACTCAGTGCTGCTATAATTTATAACGCACGCAGAATAAGAACAGGGCTCCTTCTATGTGTGTGTGTGTGTGTGTTGGGGGTGTGACAAGAAGGGTCACTGACCTCTGTGACTTGGCTAAAATCCCCATGGGCCTAATTCTGCATTTGGAAAGGACCCCACAACGCAATGGGAAGATGCCTCTAACATAATGAACACAAAGGCCATTTGTGACATTATTCTCTGCGGGGCAGAAAGAATCGGGCCCCGGGGACAGTAGAATGGCGGCGCCTGGAGACACACACGCGGTTAAGACAACAACAGAAAACAATTGAGCTCGTTAGCAGAGCGCTAATTAACGTCACGTGTCCAGCGCTCAGTGGCGGGCCGGGAGTGGCGCTAGTTTAACGCAACTGGGTCACATCAGCGGGGGAAACCAACGCCGCACGCGACGCAGACGACGCGCTGAGTTTTGTAACGTTAACGTTGTACTCTTGTAAAACAGGCGCGCGACGTTAGCCCAGAGTTCAAAGTTTGCCACCAGGATGTGTTACGTTTAGCTAACGTTAGGTTACTTAACATTTAAACGTTACCTAATTGTTGCCGAACCGCGCAGAACTGATGTCGGCCACAACAACAACAACAACATCAACAACACGCGGCCAAACATGGCTTCCGTCCTAAAGGACACGCGCACCTTTTACCAGACGGCCGTGGTCGGACGAATCAACACATGTCCGCGTGTCGCGTCTGTCCCCGCAGTTCAGAACGATGCGCGCAGATGCGTCACCGGAGGGGCGCGCGAGACGCTGCCTCCCGGTTCGCGGGCGGGAGCGCGCGAGGCGACCCGGGAGCTGCGGCGTCTTCCGCTTCCCAGAAGTGGGCGTGGCCCCGCCGGAAGGAAGCGCGTTCTTACGTCTCCGCCCACGTCACTGCAACGACGCAGAGTGCAACGCATGAGCCGAGTCATTACTTTCTTTGAAATTGCAAGCGAATACATTTGAAAGTAGACAATTTGCATACTTCAAAAAGAAAAATCTTGGGAAATCTGGTCACTTTTGTTCCCGTTACCCATTTTGATTCCTAAATAATCACCATCATCGAAACCCAAGACAAATTGCAGGAAACAATTGATTTGGAGTGTGATCTTATATTATGCAAACTCCTTTTATGCATATTTTGTTTACTGGACTGGATCAGTAGAGAATTGACAGAATAAACAACAATCGTTTTCTTGTATAGTTTGTAAGTAAGTATGTGCCCAGTCATTTTTTTTTATCATAAAAAACATTTATGATAAACAAAATGAGTTTGTTTATGAATTCCCCGTCTGTCCCAGGAGGCGGGAACCAGTAATCCAGCTGGTGGTATCTTTCACAACCCAGTGGTTTCCACTGAGCACGTTTTTTTTCTTCTTCTTTCTTTTTACTTTGCTGCATTTGTTCTTCAGAGATTGTGAAGGTCTTAATGGGTCAATGTGTGTTTTATTCGTATTACTTCAACTTCCACTAAGCACAATATGACCAGAATACTCACCAGGCAGTGATTGTACAGCTGCTGTCTCACGGCTCAGCACATTGAAAGTTCAAAGGTTACCTGAGATTGGATGCTGACAAGATGCGTCCGAACAAGGTGAGGTGACCTCGAGCGGGACGTCGGTCCCAACTACAAGTTCTGATTTCTGAAGTAAATGGAACATGAAGAGTCTGTAACCGGAGGGAAAACGGTTGAGAAAGTGAAGCACACAATGAATAAGATGTCCAATGTTCTAATATGTATTTTCCCCAGCAGGTTCTCTAAAATGAAGACACCCCCATGAACAATCGCTAGAAACTATTGGGTAGAAAAAGAGCAGTTAGACATTTTTGTTAACTAAACACAAACTTTAATTTCATGGTAATCCTACTATCCTTCTTTACCCACCTTCGTTCTAAATAGCATTTATTTATTATAAATGACTCACCTCCATGTAGTAGACATGTTCATGTGTTTTTACCAGGATCCAATCATTCAGAATACAGGATCAAAATACATTTTGGGATAGTTTTGTGAACGTTGAAGGAAATTCAACATCTTCTGCCAGGGTTTAACAAACAAAACCATAGAATAAAGATGTGAACAAATACAAACAATTGACTAATTATTACATGTAAAAGAAGTAATAATGACCCGTTTGTAAAATACAATAGAATTGCATTAAGAGTAAAGCAAAAAGTCGGGAAAGGCAAGGAGAGCACTAAACAGCCACAGAGAAGATATAAATATAAAGTATGGTTGTATCTCCTTGGTGTCCAGAAGGTGGTGGTGCCCCCCCACTCAGGATATAATCCCTGTGAAACATTAGCGGTCGGGAAGAGACAAAATCTGAGATGAAAAGGTCTGATCTAAAATCCAAATTGTATAATCTAAATACTGTGTTTAGTAGCCGTTTGTTTCATTACTACAGTTGATATGACGTGGTTTAACACGGGAGCAAAGGTGGATTTTAAGATGTGTAGCACATGACCTTCAAAGACAGCTGACATTTTAGAATACTTTTATTAAAGGTCTGTATTTGAGGTCTTTCCCTCACTATTGCTCGCTGTTCTACAGGCCACAATAAACCAACTGTGATACTCTATGTTCTCACACACACACACATATGAACATGTTTCCATTGTTATTTTCTCACTATTTGATCACAATGACATTTTAATTACCCTTTATTGTTGGCTTTATGGTAAACCACATTTAGTCAAGAAGTAGAAATAAAACATGCATAAGAACTTGCCATGAAATAAAGATGTTAGAAATCCAACACAAGTATTTTTAATTGAGGGGGAAAAGAAGGAAGAAATGAACAAACAACAACAACAACAACAAATAAAAATATTATTAGTGCGTGAAGTTGAAAAAAATGACTCAAATAATAATAGTCAAGTTACGTTATGATGAATACGGAACTGACAAAGAAGTGGGCCGATGAATGATGCTTAGAAAAACTTCATTAGCAGGAAAGGGACTTTAGAGTCTGTCATCATCGTAGTTCCTCTTACTCTGGTAATACAACGAACGGTTAAAGAAGGGGGAGATACAGACATGACATTTAAATGTCCATGTAAGGATGGAAAAAGGAAGCCTTTTGAAAAAGTGGACCCATTTTAAAAACTTAAATAGCGCAGAGCCCCGAGGCCTTCGGGAGTTCAACCTTTCAGTAAAGTTTCAGTACAGCAGAACAATCGCTAGAAACAATTGGGAAGAAACGGAGCAGTTATACATTTTGTTAACTAAACACAGACTTTAATTTCATGGTAATCCTAATATCCTTCTTTACTGTTCTAAATAGGATTGAATTATTCTAAATGGTGCCCATCTACTAACCTCCATGTAGTACATCTCAGGGCCAGGATTCAGTCTCAGAATACATTTTCGGATAACATACAATTTTATACATAATAGAAACCATAGAAAAACAGTGAAGATTGACTCAATTCAGCCGCTTCCCTTTAAGCACTTATTTTGACCCTCGGAGCATTTCCATGATACCTGAGGTCACGAGAGGTCAGGGAGGGACAGAGCTATCTGGACCGAAGCAAAGTCGAGCGTACCGCTGATGGATGAATAAAACGTTGTCTCGCCTTCAGGATTGCCACATTAGCGACGAGGGACACATCTGCTGTGAAGCGAATTAAAAGGATGGCGTGGTCATTAGGCGGCGCACAGAAAGCCCAGCTGTTCACCGCAGTTGTAACATTAGTCTCCCTCTTTTACTTGTTCCGAGGAACGGTGTAATTTTTCTTTTTTAAATTTGCACACATGAGGACACAAACAGGGCTCTTTTTCAAAACAGGCATTTTCCAAAGAAAAAGGCCTCAGTAGAGATCAGGTGGCTTTCATCTGGTCCAGTCAGAAAGACAGAAGGCCGTTGTCCCGTTTTCATGCTTTCTCAAGAAATCAGCTTGGCTCGCTTGGAGAGGAGTTCTCTGGAATCTGCTCTGCGCTAGTTAACTCTCTCTCAGCCCCTTTTCTGCATCTTTATATTTCACAATATTTACCTGCACGATGCCTTGCGACATCACCGATTTCTCCCTGATACAAATCATTAACACGGTACCCTTCTTCACCGAAGGGAAAGTCACGCCGACTGACAATTTAATGTCCACATTAAAACGATACGAGGGAGTTTAAAGTGTCACGCTTTGCAATAAAATGAAACATCGAAAAAGAGAACTGTTGCACAATCAACGGCCACATTTACTGTCCAGCAAACTGGCAGGACGTTTAATGTCAGCGATGCCCATGCAGGGTGCAAACCAATGTAACGCTCACCCAAAGTTGCTTGTGAGAGCGACGGAAAAGTCTCTGGCTTTTTCCCAAATCCCCAGTGGGTGGCTGCCTTCTCAGCCGCCCTCGAGACTATACGGCTTCCTCGTGTCAACATCAGCCTCAGTCCAAACTGAAACTAATTGTCTGCTCTTGCAGCCGTTACAATGGCGCGAGCTTTGGCTCAAGCGGACGCCGAGCGCACCTAAGAGCTTAGCTCCCAGACACAGAAGGAAAAAAACAGGCTTGAGAAGTTCATGATTTCATTCTGATTTTCCCAGCTGCCGTTTCCGTCTTCCTTCGCTCAGCCTCTTGTACTCAGTATCGGCTGTGATAAGGCCGCAGTGGTGAATGTTATCAGCGGCAATGTTTTTCAAGACAGCGCTACCTCTGAGTTTGCAGAGGTCCTCTTTTCCTAGTAGAGCAGCAGATTGTAAATGTTTGTATTACTTGGTATTTCCCCGGCTGCACTGGGTTTACTGGTGTAGCTGACATTGATATTGGTGTTTGTTTTTCAACTTTGACAGGTTAACATTTTAGAAAGAAATGCTGAAACACTGAAGAAAGAGAAATTCTGTGCTTTCCAAATACGCTACTTTTTAGTACGCCAGAAAACAAGTATTAGCATACGTCGCATTGTCCAATGCAGTACGTCAAAAATACCTGGATGTTCTACTATATCTGCATCTGCGAGCCAGCAACTTGGAATGCAGCTTAAGTCCTCGTACCATGAGGCATATCCCCCCTTTGGGTGTCCAGACTCTGGTGGTGGGGGAGAATAAGTTGCTGCAATCCTGTGATATGCCGGGTTTTCCTGCGGATTGGAGGTGGCGGGAGTTGGTGGGGCTGAATTTGTCTGACTCTATATGAATGTAATACAAAAATAATAATACTGTGACTGTAGATGGACCTGCAAGACTATAATATAAACTAAACTTTCTGTAATGCACCCTGTTGCATTGCTGGGTGTAAGAAATTGATCACAGTTTTTTAAATGATGGGTAGCAGGAACTAATATGTCTGTCTGGTCTTTTCATGAATGACACGTGATAAATTTACCCAAATCCAAAAGCCTTCTCTCCCCTCTCTATTATTATGAGACCCACAACATTGGGACTTTCCAGCTACTCACATGCTCATCACATGTTACATTCACATCTGTTTTCTATGAGGAGGGGGGGGGGGGGGGGGGGGCTTTTTTTACCCCCTGCGAATGTTTGAGTTTTTGTTAC